AACATTCCTCATGATTAAATTGACTACTTCTGATTATTTTTGATGTTGTTGAATGGAAAACATGCCTGAAATTATTTATTATAGCAGAGGAATTTAATTTGGTGACTTGGCTTCAAGATCCTCCCACGTTGTTAAATATTGCACTCAATTTCTGTGTATACACCCCCGCAGCCTATAGGAGGATGCTGGGGTGGTGGAAGGCTTGAAACTGCTCCCAGAGGGGGAAGATGGGAAATTCTGGAGCCTAAATGGAAACTTGAGAGTTGTGTTGATTCCCGATTCTTGTCTTATCTGTCCAGCTTGCAGATCTTTAAAATGCAAAATCATTCAAACCCCACGAGGCTTTCAGAATCAGTTGAGGGGTGGGTTTGTTTGTTTTCTTTCCTTGTTTTGTTTTTTCCAGAACATGTGTTAAAGCCTTACAAAATTGTGCCTTCATTCTTTAAGTACATGGCACTGTATTGAATATTTGTCTTTTGGGTTTTTAAGAACAGGTGCCACTTTTTTTTAAGGGTAAATAAAGGCATTTGAGCTCTGTTTGAGAACACAGTTAAATCAGTTATATATCCAAAGTGTTGGACATCAGCGTCATGGAATATATTAGACTGGAATTAAAACCGCAGCAGTGTAACGTCTGACATGATTGTTTGTTGGGGTGTTTGGTAAAAAGTCACAGGGAGACCATCCTGTCCCTTTTAACCTCATAAATGATCTGACCCTGATGAAAGAGATTGCTACCCTGCTGGCTAAATTAACTAATGCTGAACATCAAAGCGTAGAAAAGAAATAATGTGATACTGGTGGAAGTTCCTCTTCCCTACTGGCTGCTTTTACATAGCGTCATATGTAATATCCATGCATGAATTGGAAAAAAATAAAAATAAAACTATTTCCTTCGGGGTCAACCTTCAGGATCAATAAAGTTTTATTGAATTTAATTCTGTTCTATTTATGCAATTCAGAGCGGTGGAGCTACCTTAGGATGAGAGGTGGAGTACACCTTGAGCAGCTCGACAGTCTGTTGCCAACACAGAGGCAGACAACCATTCAGAACATACAAACTACACACACAGAGGCCAAATGGTCGATTCAAACCAGTGACCCTTTTGCTGTGAGGCAACAGTGCTAACCACTATGCAGCCCATTATATTAATATATTTATAGTTTTTAGCTAATCCACTCACCACTGTTTTGGTGAGAAGCCTTTTCCTGTTGGGAAGCGGCACCTCTGCACAGAGTGCAAACAAGCACTGGTATCCTGACTGTTTTATCTTCTGATAATTCACTGGAGAATATTACAAAAAGTTCATTTTGTGCACATTTTCAAGGGCCGTGTCACCATACAGCAGATTAAGCAGAAGAAAGTGGATGGATGGATATATTTGTGATTAGTGGCATTTCCATACCTATATTGATACCAGGGTCATTTTTCTAGCTGTGATTTCTTCTAAAACAATCATTTCTTTAATCCTGCAAATGTTAAATGAAGAAACTGCATTGGCGCTTACATGTTCTGTATTAATTCTGGGATCTATTATTTTGAACATACAACATTGATTAAACAATTTTACATCCTGATAGAGGTTCTCTCACACATCCACAGAGCAGGGCCTCGATCAGTCATGCACTGATGCCCAGCCTTTTTCAACCCTTAAATATTTGTGTGGATATATTCCAAAGAAATATCGCAGCATACTTTGTACTGTAGGACCTGCAATTCAGACGTGCATGGTTTGATTAAATATGCTAAAGTTTCTGTATCACAAAAACATCAGCTATCTCTGAGGGAATCAGATAAGAAGCACTGATTGATTTTATATGCAATGACCTTTATATTTATACGCAGGCTTGGCTTATAAATGTTTGCACTCAGTCGCAGCAGAACTGCTTTAATGTGTAATTTTAGTCTGTAAATGTAATCCCTTTTAAGTACAACATCCAAATTCAAAGTTCCTATATTCTAAGCACAATAATATTCATGTGTTTTGTATTTAATTCAAGCATTACATTCGTGGAAATCATTCCATCTTCCTTTTACATACAGCATAATCCCTCTGCATGTTTTCCCCTCATAAATGAGCCTCCCAAGTTGTTTTCTTCATTTTCTATCATTGTACCACAACATGAAGCCAGCTTAATGTATAAATATTGTTTATTCATGGAATGACAACCATCATATTTTTACTATACCCTTAGGGTATGGAGTTCTTCAATTTAGATCCACACACTAAAGGCAAATCTTAGTTTGCAGCTTTGATTATTTCAAGGCCATAAAAAAAACTTGCCCCATTACACAAAACTAAAAAAGCAATTCCTGAGGTAGAGCAAGTCTCAGTAAAACCCAACACCTTCAGGTTTCACTTTACTGAACAGATTTCATTTGATCCAGGTGACACAGGTTCAGGCATCCTGGAGCCGACAGCTCCATCTCCTCAACAATCTTGCTTGACTTCCATTAGACACAAGCCGGGAAGGTGACCATTTGTGCTAGGGGGAGGAAAAACAGGGAGGAAATGGTTCAGAAATGTATGACTGGAGGGCAGAATGAGGCAGAGACGCTGCGGGGTTTCTCACCTGGCGTGTCCGAGCAACACAACCACAGACAAGGTGCCAGCCGGGAGGAATCTGAAGAGCTTCTGCAGGCAGCGGTCTAGCTTCCTCATCACGACATCCATTTGCTGTTCCTACGCATATAAAACATAAGAGTCATCATTATACATGTTCTGTACATCAATAATATTCTGAAAAATCGAATTACCAAAGATGCTTTTAGCTCTCCTAATTGAATTCAATTTTATTTTTATAGCTCCAAATCACAACAGGAATTGCCTCAAAGTGCTTTTTATTGCAAGAAAACTCCAACAATCATATGATTCCCCTATGAGCAAGCTCCTTGGCGACAGTGAGAAGGAAAAACTCCCTTTTAACAGGAAGAAACCTCCAGCAGAGCCAGGCGCAGTCATCTGCACAAACATATTGCAGCATAACTATTACAGGAAATGAACCTATACTGAGATTGGATAAAAGAAAAAAACACAATGCAGCACTATCTATATCAACCAATCACACGGAGATATCCTGAAACCACATGATGACATCCATCATACTATGACTCCATTCGTTAAACGTAGCAGCTTATCACGCTCACCATGGGGATCTGTATTTGTAAGATCGTGCCAGCTAAGCATCTAAAGATAATCATGGTCCCAGCACTATCCAGCTTTCTGTTTCTCGTACTCTTAAATCCAATTTAACAAACTCCAGTGGGGCTGTCACTTGGCCTCTGCTCAGAGTAACCCTGATATACTGTGAGCTCAAGGCTGCAGTTTTATCCCTGCGCTCTACAGAGTTATTTAGAATTCACGACGTGTTTTCTTTTTTCTCTTTTGAGGTGCTGACACGCTGTGTGAATTCTGGGATCAGTTTGATTTTCCACAGGAGGGAGAAATTAATTACTAGTCACATTTCAACTCAATAAAACCTGACCACACGTTCAGAAAGTGTGCAGATAGGAAAGAATAAAAGTAACTAACAGATTCAAATTCTTCTGTAAGACTTTACTATGTTATATTGTTGGTCATATTCTTAATTAGTGAAGTCATCTGTGTGTGATGTTTCTTCTTGGTGTAGCCTTTCCTTTTTCCCTTTTTATTTGGGATTTTTATAGGATGACAGAACAGAACTGCGTTATGACCCAGGATGGTTGAAATACTTGTTCTAAGAAAACAACAGTATTGAATTCAGAGCCTTGGAAAAAAAACCCCAAACATTTCAAATGAGACCTTTTTGTGCACATTTCCAGATCAATATTTTTATGCTTGACTTGACTGGAGTAGCTTTGCATGACTCACAGTTCTGCCCTGTTAGCAGGCCCCGAGTTCACGCGCTTTCTGAAAACAGGTCATTTTAACTCCCCTCACTTTCAGGTCAGCTTTTTGATTGGCTTCCCTCTCAACCATTTTTGGCTAGAAAGAAAATTCAAATGGTTCCAAAAAGATGAGAATTATTTTGTCATTTTTACAGCCAAAATTATGAAACAAGTCCAGGCAACCTGTGTCATACACGGGTGATAAAGGGTTAAAAAAAGAACGATAATCTACTGGAATCACAACAATCTACTCGTTACCTGAGCGCTGCTGTGCCTGTGGGTTGTCTCCTTAATCTCTGCTCCAACCCATGAAGGCAAATGGACCGGTGTCAGCGATGGACAGATGAGGTAGTTCTTCTTCCACAGATCCTCAGAAGAGTTGAGCGCTGCGCGTCTGTCCTCTGAATTCACAAACACTGACAGCCGGACACGTTAGACTCTGAAGTGTACGCAAACGTCCCACACAGCACGTGCAACGCGTGATAAATGTAGTTTTCACCTTACCTATGCGTGCATGTCCTGTGGATTCTTTAGGCTTGGCAGATAGGATGACTCTCTTAACTGTGCCAAAGTGGCCAAATGTCTCTCTGACTGACTCCTCACACAGTTCAGATTTAGAGGTATTGAGATGCAACCATTTGTTTATTTTAGCAGGAAGTAGCCCGTTTACTGTTTCCACAGGAGTGACATCTAAGCATTCAGCATCTGACGCATGCCCATTAACTTTTGTGGAAGTGCTGATGCACTCAGTCATACTGTGGTTCATTTTAACAGCGTAGAGGTGACGGGCATTCAGAGCGTCACCCATCAGTGCTTTAAGAGTCACGTCCAGATCTAGCATTGACTCACACACCGGCCTCTGTACCTAGAAAATAACAAGTAGTTGGAGATAATCTGCATAAATGTGGGCCTAACTGCAGCGCAAAGGGAATAAATAACAGAAGCAAATGGGGGAAAAAAGGAAAAGGAAGAGAGCTACCTTTATACTCTGCCCGAGCACATTAAGGCCATTCAGAGTTTTTACCGCCAGCATCGCTCCCTCCAGCAACTCAAACTCAATCTCTGCATGTACCTGGGAGATCAAACACTTAAGCATTCAAGCAACGGTGAAGAATTTCGCAGCTCTGGTTTTATAGCGAATTGGTGAAACAATGAAAGCGATGCACACCCTGACCACTGTGTTCAACATCTTGACTTTTCGAACGGCTCCGCAGAAACTAAACAGCTGCTTCACGTCTCCGTCAGAGAAGCCTGTGGGGAACGGCCCAGCAAACACTACGCACATGTCCTGAAGTCTTGAGCAAGTCTGCAGGGAATAAATAGACAGAGTAAATACAAGCAAGCGAATGTCTTCAAAATGATACAAAGCGCTGGCGAAAAGCCTCACCATCTGATGGTGCCGCTCCTGATGAGGGAAGTAACTCTTCAGATGGTTTGACAAGGTGGAAAACTGAAGGACGGAGAAGAACGGCTGCGTTTTCAGATTTCGGAAAGATTTAAGCACCTGGAGGGGGGCGGTGCATAATGAGTTAGGTGTAATTGGGCAGAAGCAAAGCAGGAAGAGTTTACAAGAGGAAAGTGAGGGTAAATATGTAAGAAAAAAAATGAACCAATACTTTCACATGTACTGGAGAAGGAGTCAGTAACGTCTAAAAAGCTTTGGGGGGTTCAGTCGAGTGTTTCATTACAGACACAAGAGACATCACCTTACTTCTTACCTCTTTGTCTGAGTTACACTGCTTGTGACTGGAATCTTTTCCTAAAAAGGCTACTGAACGTCCAAGTGCGTGTAGCACGTCAGAAAACCTGCACAAGAAGGAAAGACAGAGGACCTGTCAGCAGCAGGTGAACAACTCAATCCATCCACAGTATTCTGAGACGACTTTAATGCCTAAATTTGTTTTCTCATTTCAGACTTTCATAAAGTTGTTCAGTCTTAGCTGGTAGCTGAGGCCACTGGATGGAAAGAGATCCAAAACAAGACAAAAACAGATTACAGAGATCAGGAGGCCGATTGCAAATAGTTTCACAGTGTGTTAAATACCTCTGAAGATAACACAGTGGGTCACATGGGTAAGTTCCTATATGCTTACTGCAGGAGGTTTACATCCTGTTTTAAAACCTACATTTCTTCAAGTGCTTAATTTTCAGGTGTGCAATGCACTGCCTTAACTTGAAGGTTAAAAAACCCCGGACAAAGACACAGTTCACTCAGCTCAGAGCGAACATGAGACAATCCACCCCAGCAGACCTCCAAAATATGTGGACATTAACTACTTGACCTGACCTGCAACACTAAAGTGACATTTGTTATTCTACAATTCCATTTCATCCACTTCTCCTCCGTTTCACCCAGTCCAGCGATCACCTTGAAGCTGAATGCAGCAGATTGAGTTTATTCGTTCAGGGTTTTCTCCTTCTCTCTCTCAGTAAATGACAAGCAGGGTCATTTAAGTTATTTGACCTTAAATTATATATAATGGCAGCATCTGAGCGCAGTAAGGTTAATTTTCTGACCTGCTCCACCTACAGGTTACATCAGGTCACTTTATAATTTGTTAATGCCTGGCTATAAGAAAACCCACACCCTCTGCTGTGTGTGGGGTTTACACATGACGAGAAGGAAGAAAGACTGGATGAGTAATCCCAGCATGGCTTAGTGGATCACTGTGTTTTACGTTTTTAGTCAGACCCATGTTTTTTTTTTTTTCTTTTTAAGGTTACCCAAACACAAGTTACAGACTGACCTGCACGCTAACAATATAGAGACTGTTGTACCTGTGACTCTGCGAGGGCTCCTCTCTTGTTTCTCTCCACAGCGCCTTCCAGTGAATCTCTAAAACCTGACAGTAAGCAAAGGAAATGTTAGATTATTCCTGTGTGTGTGTGTGAGTGTGTGTGTACTTTTCCAAATATGATTTCCTACCTGGCGAGGTCCTGTTTTGATAAAGTACTGGGCCAGCTCCAGGGCTGCCAGAGCATCCTCAGTTGGATGATGACCCAACATATCTTCTGTTTGTATTTTCCTCCTGAGATACGAGTGGAAAATTAGGTTATCGATCACAGTGGGACAGAAATATTTAGAGATAACAAGAGAACTCACTTCAGTATGATCCCAGTCAGAACCTTGAGCTTAAACCTTCGCCCACACTCCCTCTTGTACAGCAGTGACGTGTCAATTACATGCTTGTGGATGAGCTGCGGGGCGGGCACAGACGCAACATGGTTTACAGTTCATGTTAATGAAAAAACTGAAGTATTTCTTTTAAGATATTTTCTCTGAAATTACAGGACATGATTACTGCTGGAATAAAGTACTATTTCAGCCGAGTCAAGATGATCATGTTCTAACATTTCTGATAAATGTTAAAAAGCTGCCAATATCCTGCACACAGTGTTTTGTTTTAATATTTTGTTTTTGTGAGCCATGACTTCATCAGAAGGTTTGAAAGAAATCACTCACTTTCAAAGCTATGAGGTCATGTTCAAGAGAATGGCCCACCAGAACTGCCTCATGTGGCAAAGTCCTAATAAGCATTTCTTGAACATCCTGCAGAGTCGTTGTTACTGGTTGCAACATCGCAGGTGTGATACCAGAGAATCTATCAGGAGATACGAGCAGTGTTGGAGAAAGAATTTCAGACAGAACAATGAATATGTTTCTCTAAGGTGTAACATATGACACTGACTGACACAGATTCCTGTACAAACATAATGTGACTCTTAACAATTTATTAAAACTCGAGACCATAAAAAAGCGTGTGTACTTGGTACAGTAGTTGAGAATGTGGTTCGGAGGTTTCACCAGCTCATCCATTAAACACTTCCCATCACTGTCCACCAGAGAAACACGAGTTAGCTCTTTTCCATCTTTTGTTACACACTGAAACATAAAATAAACATAACAGTGAGTGAATGCAAAAACTCAATCATACTAAAAATTGCAGGAAAAAAGCTACAAATCGATGTTATGGATGTAACCTTTTGTGCTGCAGCTGTTATCATAGGCATAGTCAATGAGATGCTAACACAGGCATGTGAGTGGAAGCTTCCTATTTACAGAGGCACACTGCCCTGCTGGGAAACACTGGGCAAAGAAATGGACATAGTGCTACAGGTTTTTTTTTTTGTTTGTTTATTTTTAATCTGGGATCTGGTTTTCAAAAGTGTTGGGTAAGTCAAAAATCAGCCACACAATATAGCGCCGTACAGGTTGTTAGCTGTCAGCTGCACCTCTGTGATGCCACCTGATTCCATCGTGGAAAATGGGAAGTGACAAAATATTTTAGTCTCTCACCATTTCACAGTCGATTCCAAAGAGGGGGCTGCTGTCAGTCACACAGTCAGCGCAGTTTGTACACACAAATTCCTCAAAGCCGGGCATTCCTGTTTGAAAACAAATAAACCAACAGGTGAGGAGGAGACGCTGAGCCCACACAACACCATACCACTCATATTCAAGGTCAAAGCTCAAAGTAAATCTCGCCACTCAGCACTCATGTTGAAATGCCCCAGGTTGGCTTATTTTATTTTTCCATCTAATATTTGGTAATTTTGTCACAAGATATAGTTTAAAAAATATCAGATTACTGTTTTAACACACTAAACCCCAAATGGGCCCTGATCCTTCAGAGATCAGTGCTCAGGAGCACAGAATAAAGCTCTGTATGAATGGGTTGCTACGGCTTATAGTAAAAAGCACCTTGGGTTGTCAGAGTAGAAAAGTGTTAGATAGAAACAAGAAGAAGCCAAGTGGCAATTAAAAAAAAGGATGGAAAACAGAAGCAATTGTGATTGATCCCAGTATGAACATCTATTTTTTTTTTCCTTTTTGTTGGATGGCCATGACAACATTAAAAAAATGCATCGACAGAAAAAAGATCCCTCTCATCTCTTATTTCATGATTTTTTTTTTATTACCAAATGTAACTCTTAGTTGACACAATATTACAAAGAGAAAAATTCTTACCTTTAACAGGGTAGTTATTCTTGATCATCTCATCCTCTGTGAGAACATATGCTGTGAGTCCTCTCCTCTCGGTCCCAAACACAGTGATGATTGGGTGGTTCTTCATCGCTGCACCAGTGCACAGAAAAAGTGAACACAGGTACAGAGAAGAGCAAAAACCTTACATGAAAACTCAAGAACACCAGAGAGATCGAATATTCTTCACTAAATGTTACAGTATAATAATATGATGAATATTAATAAGAAAAGATAATAGGAGCAGAACTACTAAATGAATCCATCATCCATCACATGATTCTCACCTTCCTGCAGTTCCTCATCTGGTTTGGAGACAGACAAACTGTCCTGTTTGGGAACTTGACTGGAAAAGATTCCAGATACTACATCTACAGATGATGGCGTGAAGGTGACCCTCTAAAAAAAAGTAAGATTTATTTTTTTGCTAAAGTGCTACGAATATGACTTCACTCATAAATAATTTGATTTGCTGTGTTTATTTTCCCTCTTACAGAAGTGTAGCTGGTCCTGAGGTGCTGCAGACAGAGGTAGTGTTTGTAAAAGTGACTCTGTGTCAGGTCCTCCACAATCACAACATTTACACCTTTAACCTTTCTGTGATGGCGGAGACGGCACCAGCTGGTAGACAGAAAAAAAAAACACATTTTAAATTATTATTATTATGTGAGTATAACGGCACAGTATGAGTTACTGAGGACTCTTTGACACCAGCTGATGGGGTAGATAACACATTACTACTGCAGCTGTTACCTGGGCTTTTTGATGCCACCTGCTTTCCCGAGAGCGGCATACTGCAGCAGCTCTGTCAGTTCATTCAGGGCGATCGGTTGCTGAAGGCAGTCAGGCAATACCGAAACCCTTGGCAAGCAAGAGGCAGGTCCACACTGCAGCACCTCATCATCTCGCTGTTCAGTTTTGAATCTCTTAGCCTCCTCCTGAGCTGTGTGGGTGCTGTTTTTCCTTTTCTTTGCTTTGCACTTTGCAACTGTGGAAGACTCCATGTTCCAGCCAATTATATTTACACTGGAAGGCAAACCAAAAACATATTTCAGTTTGGGTAGAGCTAAGATTTACTGATGCTCCTTTTTAAATGTGCAATGTTTGTAGGTTCAAATAAGTGCAGAGCAATGCAGCCTTGTTCTGTAGAGCTGGAGCTCAAACTTTAGAGTTACTAATATAGCTGTGGGCATTAAAAACAGCTAAGAATCACACGCTGTCAGTGAGCTTTTTCATTTTCATGTTTACATAATTTTGGAGCTGGTAATTGTTCGTTGAACTGTATTTTAGACAGGCAGTTTAAACCAAAATAAAATACAGAAAGACTATGCTACATTTACAGCACATTACCCAGAGCTGGGGGACTGAAAACACAGCGAAGCCATTTGTTATCAACAAAAGTTCAGTTTCACAAATTAAAGTGCTCATAAATGCTGGTTCAGCGGACGACTTTCTTATTCTTCTCTTTCTGGTTAGTTAGTTTATTTATATCAGAGTCACAGTTACACAGGAAATCACAACCTAGCTGAAATTTTAGTTTAAATCAAATTTGAAGTCCGGTATACGCGTGAGATGTATAATAAGGGTAAAATTGTGTAAATACCACACGCCATAGGTCCGGTTTGGTCCAAAATTATATTTTTCTACCAATATCTTCAGTTAGTAACACATGGCTAAAGCATGTGTTACTAGTTTTGTCTTGTAAGTGCAAATAAAAACAGGTACTAGCACTACTTCCGGTCTGTAACTTTAAAAATAAAACACGAGTAGGTACGGCTATGTGCATGTAGCAGAATTGTTGTTTATAGATTAGCATTTTCTAGTTAGTTCTTAATTTTTATTCCATTTTGACTTTTTTGTTTAAAATTGAGCTTGATTTCAGTTAGTTTCCAGGGGGAATTTTCTTTGTTTTAATTTAGCTATTGTTATTTAATGTTTAGATTTATTTGTTAATGGTTTCAGTGTTATTTTTCACAATTTTTTCAATTATTATTGTATGAAGCACATATTTCAGGGGCAAGCTTCAGGAAAATCAGCAAAGTTACTACAATGAAAACACAGCACTTTTTAAAAGCAGCTGGCTCACAGGCATGCAGACAACCACAATCTCAGTATACACGACGTCAGTGCCTCATCAAGCATGTTGTAATAAAGTTTTTACCAAACAGATACTAAAACAGGATATTTCATCTATAGTTTTTATTCTTTTTGTTTTAAACATTTTTCGAGTTCACAAAACCGTTTCTGATAGTTTAATTTGACGTTTTTAAGTCGTTTTTATTTTTGTTTAAGTTTTTACAAAAGTGGAGTATTTTTCACACATCTAGTCTTAGATTTTGTTCAGTTTTTTGTTAACTATATAACAACCTAGCTGCTTTGAGTGTTAAGAGGTCTTTTATTTTGATAAGAAATCGTAAGACGGCAACAGAAGCTCGACTATTTTTGACTCTACAGTGATGCCTGCCGACTTGCAGGCTTAAATAATCGAGCTCGGAGCTACAGATGCCGTTTTGAAAGAAACAGCGCGAATTCCCCGAGTTTTCAATTAATGGCTAAAGTCAAGCTCCTGCTATAGTTCACAGTTTCTCATAGAAAGACGGTCGCAGAAACATCACCGTGGCAAAATTAAATAACAGCTATGACCACAAAGAAATTGGCGAAGTAAGTAAAATTAGCCTGTTTGCTGGCTTATCTGCTAACCTAAACAAACTGAACAAAGGAACGTGTTTTGAAAGCAACGAATAAGTTTATGTCGATTACAAGTTACGTTTTTCAATATTGTTTTAGATAAATGCTATAAGTACATCTGCGAGGACAGCGTATTCAGTTAAAAGTAGAATTGTGGTTCACTGTAAACTTTAAATTCAGGTGTTGTTACGATATACACACTATTTTATCTTCGTCCCTTCGCAGGGAATTAGGATTGTTGAGACAGCGGAGCAAGTCCTCTGTGTCGAAGAAATCTGTGGTATCAAGTGAGTATGCCACGTTCAAATCGGATTTGTTTGACAGTTGATTTTTTTTAACACTGGATCATGGCTGTGAAAACTGTCTGGTTCTTTCAGATCAAATATTTTCTTATCTGATTGTGATCGACTTTGAGTCCACTTGCTGGAGAGAGAAAAACAACCGCAGCCAAGAAATTAGTAAGGAGCAGATTTAACATTCACAGTTTACATCCGGGTGATGTCCTTACTGTTTTAACACCGGCCCATCTTTTCTTTCTTCCTCCCTGAAGTCGAGTTCCCTGCTGTTCTGCTGAACACGTCCACGGGGGAGATGGAGTCTGAATTTCACACTTATGTTCAACCCCAGGAGCACCCCATCCTGTCTGACTTCTGCACTGAGCTGACTGGGATTACACAGGTGTCTGCAGCATACACGTTTAAAAATTCCAGCATGCTCTGTGTTACATTACAACCAACTTTTATTTCTCTCTTGTACAGATGCAGGTTGAAGCAGGGATCCCGCTTCAGATCTGTCTCTCGCGGTTCAGCCGTTGGCTCCAAAACCTTCTGCTTGAAATGGGAGTGGCCTTTGCCAACAAAGACCAGAGATGTTCGGGACCGTCTCAAAAGCTGTGTACTTTCCTCACGTGGTCAGGTAAAAGTTCTCAGTATATTGGTCTACACATCTGTAAGCTCAGCATTGCTATGAATTGACATTGGTGAACCACTGGGGTCTCAATTGTATTTTTAAACTAGCTATAGAGAACCATTAAATCTGCTCATTTACTGCAGTTCTTAAGACTATTTAAGGTATTAAATGGTATAAAATGAGCAAAAGTGCACTGAAATTTGTGTTCTTTGGTCTCCGCTGGGTGTCAGACTGGGATCTTGGAGTTTGTCTGCAGTACGAGTGTAAACGCAAACAGCTTCATAAACCTGATGTTCTCAACAGCTGGATAGACCTGAGAAGCACATACCGGGTAAGAGTTTCGAAGGTGTCTTTGTTTATTGTATGTTTTATTTAAGCATAAAATGTTTAAATGGGTGTCAGTTTTAAGGTAAAAGCACAAAGACTAGAATACAGATTTAAGTGAGTCCAAAAAGGCATATCTTATGGAGTAAAAGGAGTACATATTTTTATTAAGATCTAAGATGTCACAGACTGTGTAATTGAGCTGATTTACTCCAATTACCTCTGCTCATGTGGTTGTTTCTCTAACTTCTTTTTGTTTTTCCAGCTTTTTTACAACAGGAAACCCAAAGGCCTGAATGGAGCTCTTCAGGATCTCGGAATACAGTTTTCGGGCAGAGAACATTCTGGTATGTGACCAAGTGTAGATAATTCTGTATTACACACGACCATCAACCTAACGGCCTAACCCTTCTTTGTTTTCTCTCTCAGGTTTAGATGATGCCCGAAACACAGCTCAGCTGGCAGCAAGAATGATGAGGGATGGGTGCATAATGAAGGTTACTAGGAGCCTGGAGAGGGTGAGTGGCCGGCCGATGTCGCCCTTAACGAACCCCAACTCTGGAAATCCTAGCATCCCTCATCATCTTCCAAATTTAAAAGCTCTGTGAAGATAATAATATAAAGGAAATTTTTTGCTCTGTGCAAAAACATTTTGATTGTGGACATTTTTTAAAAATGTTGTACTGATTTAGATTTTATTTATTAATAAAATTATATCTTTAAGTTTGTATTTTGTGTGCTTGGAGAGAAGACAACATTAGAACTAAGTATACTATATTGCCAAAGGTGTTCGCTCGTCTGCCTTCACACACATATGAGCTTTAGTGACGTCCCATTTTTAATCCAAAGAGGTTTATGTCAGTTCACCCTTTGTAGCTGTGATAGCTTCAGCTCTTCTGGGAAACCTTTCCACTGGGTTTAGGACTGGTTATGGGAATTTCTGACCGTTGTCTGGAATCACATTTGTAAGGTCAGACACTGATGTTGGATGAGAAGGCCTGGCTCGGAGTTTCTACACTAACTTATCCCAAAGGTGTTCTATTGGGTTCAGGTCAGGACTCTGTGCAGGCCATTCTTTCACACCTGCATCCATGGAAATAACTGGAAAACCTGAGTTTGGAAATCCAATATTTTGCTGGCTGAGGGAATGCTTTTGGCAATATAGTTTATGTAACTCAGAAGAAGTGCTTCCAGAGTTAATTTGATAGTTAATGGGTTGTACCATTCAGATACTGATTTAAAATCTTCTCTGTGTCCTGTAGACCCCAGTGAGGGCCAAACCAGTGTTTGGAAACACTGCCTGTCCTGAAGACAAGAAAGAAAAACTTAATGAGAATGAAAAGAAAAATGCAGTCATCCGTAGCAAACACTCATCATTTAAAATTCCCCTCAAAGCTTGTCAAAAACAACTATGTCCCGAGGAGATTGCTCAAAACTTTGCCACAGAGAAAAACCCAAGCTCCGTTTACAAATCTCCTCAAATCTGTCAAAGCCTGATCTCACCAAAGACTCTTCTGAACGGCACGATGGCGCCGCTGTTGAGGCACGGCAGGAAATCAGTCACAGCAGAGGCTGCCCCTAGCCTTTCCACCTCAGTTGTTACAAACTGTGTTTCTCCCCAGAATAACAATAGCAGTCTTATTCTGTGTTCCACTACCGTGAGCTGCTTTTCAAATCCGTCTCCACCAAACTGGGCCTCAAAAACAGAAGCAATGCTAGGATCCACGGAGAAAGAGGAGGGTGCGGAGCTTTTAGTGGAAACTGAGGAGAGGTGCGGCTCATATGACGACGTGGTGTTGGAGGGTGATGTTAATGAAGCAAATGATGAATGTGATGCAGAGTACATGTCTGAGTTTGATAGTGGATCTTATAATTGGTTAGAGCAGCATACTTCACATTCAGCAGGAAGTCGGCTCCCTTTGAATGATGATATGAGAGAATCAACTGGAAAGAGCTCTAAAATGCAAAAGATTACCACAGATTCTACCAGTAAAGGTCAAAAATTTCATTGTTGTATCTTAACAGCAATGAACAACAGAACAACAACAGAAAGGATGCATTCAGTGACCTCAGATATTTACTTTGCTGTGCCTAAAACTGTTAACATTGGTAAATCAAATCAGTGCAACACAGGACTTAGAACCTCCCTCCAACTTCACGAAATATCTTATGTTCCCACTAAGAACTGTTTGATTAGGCCTAATCCTTTTGTCCCAGAAAAAACCTCCACCCCCAACACGTCCTTTGCCCGGCCCAAACCCGCCATCACACAAATCCCAAAACATAAAGACACTCTGAGATCCTCCTTTACCATCTACACCGAGCCGGCCAAACAAGCTACAGCTCCCTTGCGTCCTTCCTCACACGGCAGTGTCCTCTCCTCTTTGTCAACCAACGCTCTCCCCTCTCGTGCCGAACGTTCCATCATTTCTGTGAGAGGAGCTCAGAAGATCACTTCTCCACTGTGCGCGTGCGGCCGTCGTGCAAAGCGTCAGGTCGTGTCAAACGGCGGTCCAAACCACGGTCGAGGGTTTTATTGCTGCCCAGTCCGCCGATCGGGCAGCGGAGGACGGATGGAGAAAGGGTGCGAGTTTTTTAAGTGGGAGTCGGCCGTGATGAAGAGCGCATCAGCGGCCGCTCCTGCTGTCGGATCCTCTGTTTCACTCTGTCAGCTCAACTCCACTGTGTCCCATCGTCCAGCCCACACGTCACTGCTAAGGAAAAGCTACTGAAATCCTCCATCATACATTAGTACAGGGGTAGGCAACTCCAGGCCTCAAGTGCCGGTGTCCTGGAGGTTTTAGATGTGTCCATGATCCATCACAGCTGATTTAAAGGGCTAAATGACTCCTCAGCATTTCTTGAAGTTCTCCAGAGGCCTGGTAATGAACTAATCATTTGATTCAGGTGTGTTAACCCAGGGTGCGATCTAAAACCTGCAGGACACTGGCACTCGAGGCCTTGAGTTGCCTACCCCTGCATTAGTATTATTGGTGGAAAGGCTAGTATTATGGCATCAATGCCAATCAATATCACAAACTAACCACCTCTGATTACCAGTTTTAATTAACTCTTTATATAAATATAGGCATTTATATACATTTGTAACTTTACATACTTGTTAATAATTTCAAACTGAATTTCTGTTATCACTGTGGTCCACCTGGAGAACCTTTGAGACACACCAGGGGGAGCTGGCCCACGTGTTTGGGAAACACTGGATTCATTCATTACTACACTGATCAATAACTGGGGCCACTCAAAAGAGAAAATAATTTATTATTATGTTGTTTATATTAAATATATTTTTAAATTTGAATCAAGGATCCATTAAATTCTTTTATAATAATAAAGTTGATTATATTTGTCTGCAGGTAGAGAGGAACCATGATCTTTAACAGAGTATAGAAAGTATTGACCACCAGAAGGCAACTTCTCTGTTGGTGTTTAGAATATCACAAAAACAACTAGCTGGTATAAGCAGAGTGTGGAAAAAGTAGCTACATATAACAAATGTTAGGGAATTCTGCTTGTATTGCATTTTTGAAATAAATATCAGCTAATGTATCAGAATATTGGCTTTTTATATCGCTAAATATTGGTAGAAGCATTGGTCCTATATATTGGTCAGGTCACGTTTGAATCTGTAGGAGCCAGAACTCAGGCTGAGTTTTAGTAGCTCAAATAATTCACTCAATGACAAGCAATTCAGTGTATAACTGTTGTGTAATTAGTTTGGTTAAAATTCTGTCTCTCTCCATTAATATGAAAATATTATTAAAAATGTGAGACTGTTCATTTCTTTGTAAGCTAGCAAATTTACAGATTCACCTGCAGTTGAAATAATTATTTCCTCGACTATTTCCACTGTGACATAACCTACTGGTTACAGATGGTCCCAGTTTGAAGTTTAAGCTTCCAGTTGAGTGTTGCCACCACTACAAAAAATCAGATGTGACAAGCAAAGGCGGGTCTGACTGTCAAACCACACACTGGCTAATGACTTCTGACTGACAGCTCATTAGGTAATAATAATGTGGTTTTTAAGATAATCCCATGACCAAAATTTAAAAAAAAGACGACTTTATTTATTCAATGTGTTCCAAAATGAGTGACTGAGCCCATAAACTCGAGAGGTCATGTCATGATGATTTTTCCATAGACTTCAATAGGGCTGGATGTCTTTTTGGAATCACCGGCATCGCCTTCTAGTGGCTTTCAGATAGTGTTCAGGGTTTTTTTTATACTATCACATAATCTACATGTGATAGTATAATTTTTTTATACCATCTATGGTTCTATTCAATTCAATGCAATTTCAATTCATTTTTATTTATATAGCACCAAATCACAACAAAAGTCGCCTCAAGGCGCTTCATAGATACAGAGGAAAAACCCAACAATCATATGACCCCTTATGAGCAAGCACTTTGGCGACAGTGGGAAGGAAAAACTCCCTTTTAACAGGAAGAAATCTCCGGCAGAACCAGGCTCAGGGAGGGGCCGCCATCTGCTGCGACCGGTTGGGGTGAGAGAAGGAAGACACTCACCCCTAGTGTTGGCTAAAAGAAATCAGTAACTCTTGTGTAACATTGTCTGTGAAATTGAGTTATTTGTAAACACTGATTCCTGATATAAATTACATGGGTGGAAACTCTAACACTTATTCATTCAGGATGTACTTTAGCATTGTTTTGGAATGATTTCGAGTTTGACCCCCCTCCCCCAAATATATATCAACCTTATAATGATTATTATTATTTACCAAATACATTTTTAAATATATGGGGTTTTTTTTCTTGTCAAACAATATAATGTACAATAGCAATTTTAACAGAAAAAAGATTGTGAACAAGAACAAATGTTTACTGTGACAACATTGTAAATAAAGTTGTTGTTTTTTTTAAGTTATTTTGTATTATTTTAAGAATGTGGTCATTTTTTTGGAAATCTGATACGGTGTCCTAGAGTAGCGTAGTTTAACACGCAGCCAGAGACTTTTGTCCCTCCTGACACGCCGTACAGGATGACCAACAAACGTGCACGGAGACCTCCTTTCTTGGAACGGCTATGGTTTGAACGCACGTGAGGGGGGAAAAGGCTGCACCAGTCCGTCAACTTCACTCGGTTTTTATATTGTTGCTGCAGGTTTAAAATCTCCGACAGTTCGTGTTGAGCTTACGGCTAATACAGGCGAGGAGGTACAATCAAAACAAACACAAAACAGGTAGCCGATAAGCTAGTGAGCCTCCAAACTCCCGGTTTTAGTTCTGTATCTGAAATCGCTCTGGAAACATGTCAGCCGTGCAAAACGAATCCAGGAAACGGAGCAAGAAGCGCTTTATGGCCGGCCACCACAGCAAGCGGTGGAAGGGCTCCCGGGAGCTGGAGGTGGGCATGCAGGGGATCCTCATCACATGCAACATGAACGAGAGAAAGTGCACGGCGGAGGCCTTGAATCTGCTCGGTGAATACGCAGACAAGCTCTATGGTCTCGAGCAGGTAAGTTTACATTATTGGATCAAAGGCCTCCGACGAGCAGTGTTTGGGGCTAATATGCTGGATGGTTTGAGTTAAACTAGGATTTAGCTTGCTCTGTTAATGGAGTAAGGGAAAAGCAACGACCTCATACAAGCTATAATGAATATGTGAAGAACAAATGGCTGGTTTCGGTGTTTCCACGTGTGATTGCTTCTTTTCTCATGTTTTACGTTACTGGAAATGCTTTTGTGTTCCACATGCGTAAAACGAGAAGCACACATGTTGCTTTTTCGTATCACTTGTACTTTTTTGTGTGTTTTTAATGCTCTACATTCAGTAATTTTCTGTGCTTATTATTCTCTTAGTGTAGTTCTTTGATTTAACTTGTGTCAAGGCAACATACAAAGTAAGAATGGCATTGCCCAGCGTAACCTCTGTGTTTTGCAGTGTGCATATATGACAAAAAAGTTGACTTGATTCTTGCTCACAGCTTCAGGAAAATACAGGCAGCAGCAGTGAAGAAGAGGAGGCTGAAGAAGAAGATGTTGATGTTGCCCTGAAGAAAGAAGTGGCCCAGCTGCGAGCATCAGAAACTAAACAGGAGAGGCGCTTCCAGGCACTCGACAGCGGAGCAAACAACGTGATCTTCATCAGAACTCAGAATATCGGTAAAGCTTTTTGTAGTTGATGCGAGTCTGTCTTTCAGTGTTTTTGTTTGGGCTTTTTTTCAGATTTTTGTTTTATTTTGTTTTTCCGTAGAGTCTGATAAACTGGTTCATCATATCCTGTCAGATCTCCATACTACAAAGAAGAAAAAGTCACGTGTCATCCTTCGAATGTTGCCAGTAAGTAGCTTAGTTGCGAGTCTCGATGTGCATATGCGTTTGAACTGATGCAGGATAGAGAGATGCCGCCGTATTGTAAGTCGAGGGGTTGTTGAATCATCTGAGCATTCGCATGACTGAAGCTCTAAAACAGTGCTTTTAAAATGAGCTATTATTTGATATTGATGCATTATGACAACAACAGTAAAACCCTTGGGGTTTTTTTTCTTTCTTCTTTCAGGTAACTGGAACCTGCAAAGCTTTTCAGGAAGACATGGTGAAATATCTGACCACTTTCCTGGAGCCTTGGTTCAAAACTCCAAGCTGTGCTACCTACCAGATTGCGTTCAAGGCTCGCAACAGCAACCACAACAAGCGAGACGAAATCATCAAATCTATCGCAGGTAGGCTCGTTCATTTTCCATGTTTTTCATGGCTGCCGGTGCCCGTGCTAAAGGAAACTAACTCCTTTTGAATCCGACTGTTTTACAGGCCTTGTGGGGAAGATGAACCCTAAGAACAAAGTGGATTTGACAAACCCTGAACTGACAATCATTGTGGAGGTCATCAAGACAGTGTGTTGCCTCAGTGTGGTAAAAGACTATACGCTGTACAGAAAGTACAACGTTCAGGAAGTGGTGAAAGACGACATATTGAAGCCTGACGTGACCACAGCAAAAGCAGACGCAGACACAAGCGATCAGACGGAGAAACCCGATGCGGGAGAGACTGACAGAAGAGAGACGAAGGGCGAAGAAGACAAGGGCACGAGTGTTTCAGAGAAGGGGGAGGGTGATGAGGGTGAAGGTGGGGGGGAGTGAAAGCTCACACTGAAGAAAATCGTTGAGGAAATACCGTTTAATTTTCTTTGTAGTGCCGTGCTTTTGTTTTAAATGGACTGATTTGTCAACATCATGAACTCCGTAAATATCACAAATGATTCTAATATAATTTAATATTTGGGGTTTTTTAATATTCATGGGGATATCTGGCATCCATTATCACCTTTATTGAGTTGTACATTTCAAATGGGAGAATTTTTTAATTGATGTTACAAACTATTTGTAGCTGCTCACAGTTTTTGGTTTGTCTTTTTGTTTGTTTGTTCTTTTAAATGGTTAATTTGACTTTTAATTTCAGTGTGTTTTTATTACTCGCTTAAAAATGGACTTTTCTTCAAGTTAACAGGCATCACTCCTAGTACCTGTTACTGTTGTGTAGCTTGTTTCCTATATTCATCCCTGCTGCCCGTGTGTTTAACTGGTTCCTCACGTATCCTTTACTTAGTTCGTGGTGCTCTCTGTTCTGCTCATTGGCACAATAAACAGAACGAAGTGGAGGAGAGTGAGCAGGTTAGAAATGGCATACATATAAACTCTGTATGGTGTGTTATACTTAGAAAGTGTAGATACTTCTTTGGCAGTTCTTTTGTGCTCCACAAGATGGAGATAAAACATCATTTTCCAGAGTACTGACTGTTACGTGATAATTGTGCTACCCTCTAAATGAATATTTGTAGCTATACTGCGTACTGTTGTTTTCTTTTAAAAATTATTTTAGGAGAAACAGACTTGCGTTTGTTTTAGTCTTGAATACTACATAATCCTACTTGAATACTCCAGGCTGTACCTACCGTTTAAAATATAAAACACTTCATATAAGAGAGTAACATCTTATTACAGAATACATGAAGAGTATAACCTGTAACACAGACAAATTTTATATGAGTGCAGTTTTTTCTTTTGGCGTCGCTCCAGCTGTTGCTGCTGGAGCGACGCCAGCAGAGGAAGAAATATTTCAGCCATTCTAGTGCTTGATTGATATCGTGCAGTTGAGAACAAATTAATCTCCGGTCTGAAGGTGCGGTCCTACCTGTGAGTACTTGTTATTCATGCATTAAGTTTCTAATGAATACTGACTACTCCCGTGCAGTATGTCAAGTGCATTGTTTAGAACACTGCAATAAACAACTGATACTGGGAAGAAAGTACGGGTGGGATGTGAGAGGCACTGACTCTCACATAAGCTGTTTTTTTTTTTTTTGTTGTTGTTTTTTTCATTTCTATATTATCAGGTCCCAAAGGTAATTGTTCCTACACCTAAGTCAAACAGCCCGTGTTACTTATGTGTCATGCAAATATAACATGATCCATTTTGTAACCAGATACAGTGCAGATGGCATTGTCTAAGTGAAGGTGTGCTCTCAATGTGGCTCACGCAGGTCCGTGAGTCAGTAGGTTTAACAAAAACAGAAAAAGTCTGTAATTAGGAGCAACCCACATCCTGATTAAGTCAATGTCACGAGGAAGCATATTCAGACATTTTGATAACCTGTAAGCTATAAATGCAAAAGTCTGTAGTGCAGTCCTGTGAAATACTAAGTACAGCCTCACTGCTTCCATAGGAATTAAGAGGGTAATAGCAGCCAGGTGCTGTTAGTTAAATGTACTTGATTAACTGAAAATCAGAGCGTGATCACCTCTGTAGAAGCAGATGTGTGAACAGTTTGCTGGTCTGGAGGAGACGTAGAGCCACAGCCTGCAGGAGTCGACACTCAAATTCAGCCCAAGAGCGTGCAATGTTCAGAGAGGGAATAAAAGCAGCAAGAGCTACAGTGCTTAGCAATTTATTAGGCCGTCAACCAATGTAAGGTTTATGCCACAGTTAACAGTATTGGTAAATAATTTTTATGTTTTTGTAATGGTTAAACCACCAGTATGTGCAAGCTCTTTAATTAAAGTTTTTAAAGCAAAAAATATGATTATTGTTGAAAATTAATTTTCAGATTTACTGCTTTACAAAAATGGAAAGAAACATAGTAAAGCACAATATTATTTTTTGATTAAGATGCCAAAATAGAGGTATTTACTCGTATTCCTGCACAGAAAGATGTGTTTTTGCGGTTGAATGTTATGCTTGATTAATTGCTGACTTCTAGCTCAAATTTGGTAAAAAAACAAACAAACAAAGCTAAACTAAACTTGAAACCTGTTGGTTATTTGCCTAATAAATAAGTTTAGTTTGAAACAAGTTTTTGACAGATTTCCAAAATATCTGGTTTCTATTAACATTGTTTAGCACTGTACATCTCAGAAACTACTTCAAGTAGGCCTCAAGTAGCATGTTACATGTTGAAGTTTCTGACAGTGAAATCAGAGAATGGCGGAACAGGTACGACTTGTTTGGATGGGTTGCCAGGAAAACGCCTCCTTTCTCTAAAATGAACATGACAGCACATTTTAGGATTGCAAACTTATATCACAACAAATCACAAGAGTTCTGGATCAATGTCCTTTGCACAGAAGATACCAAAGGCGAGATATTTGGCTGTAATGCACATCATGTTTGGCCAGAAGAAAACACAGCCTATCAGCACCTCTGCCACCTGTTAGACATGGAAATGGAAGGATGATAATTTGGACTTGTTCCAAAGGACCTGGGCACCTTGCAGTCACTGAGATGATCATGACCTCTGCTGTATACCAAAAATGTGAGAGCATCTGTCTGACAGCTGAAGGTTGGCTGAAAATAAATCATCTGTCAGGACGATAATCTTAAGCACAGCAGCAAATCTAAAAGAGAATGAATGAAAAAGAGAAGAATCAAACATCTGTTCGTGTCTTTCTCCTGAGTTTATTATACCAACCTACAGTATCATACATATGAGCATCCCCAAACATGAGTGTGCATCTCAGACAGATGAACAAACTTGTAGATAGAACAGTACTTATCTCACCCAGGGCACTGAAACGGCTAGAGCCAGCTGTGTTTTTGATTGATAATATGGTGCTATATTATTATTATTATTATTATAAATTTCCCCCGGTAAGAGGAACACTGCAGCAGAAGTGATCATTGTTGCTTTTTTGTAAGGTTAAGCAAAAACTACCTAGCTAACAGAGGAGAGGTGGGAACTGGGAGCAGAATAAAAACAAAGATCATTTGGTGCACTCTCATGCTGCTGAAAAGTCTCCAAGGGGAGCCACAATAAAGTGAGTCATCGTTTTTGATCTAATCATGCTAATAGAATTACAATGACAAACCTAACAGTAATTGTTTACACATATAATGTTTCATGTGTACATCTCAGTTTAGCTTGTTAGCATGCTAACGTTTGTTTATTAGCACAAAGACAAAAGCAGCTGATGGAAATGTTTGCTGCTGTTTGTTTTGCAGATATTGTGGCATGAAATTGCCAGTGAAATTCATTTTGACCAATTTAATTTGCTGATGATGATAGATTTAAAATAAAAACTCAGATTTCACTCACTGGCACCTTTGCCTTGCAAACAATGACAAAAAATAAGAGCCGCTTTCTCTTTTTGCATTGTTTGTTTTGCCATTGTTTGCAAAAGGTCTCGCATCTGTGACTCTTCCCTCAGTTTACAGGTTCATGCCAGAGTACATGCTCATATCTTTGTAGAATTATCCTGGGTATGTTCTCTGTTTCTGCTCTGCCTTCCTCTAAAGGTCATAAACAGTTTTGCAGTTTGCCTTTTAAAGATATTACCAGGAGAACCAGGCACTGTTTATAGATTTGTGGGCAGACACATCAAACGTAATGTCAAATCTAAGAGAACTAGCAAGAATTGTCTCTGAAAAAAATTGTGCAGTATAACTAGGATGTTGGATACAGTGTAGTGATGGTAATTAATCATAATAAGGACCTCCAGTTCACGTTTTCTGTCTCTTTCAGATACGCACACATGCTCTAACTGATTTGTCATTTCTTTTTCTGCTCATTACACTTGTGCTGAACTGTTGTTGTGACCCTGGCAGTCGTTATCTACACCACATTCTGCTAAAACTCACAAATTGCATTACCTCCAGCTCTCTGGTGCCCCAGCCAGTGAGACCTACTGACAAGCTTGTGGCGCTTATACAGGAAGGAAGGATTGGCTGTTTTCAGCCTCAATAGTGTGTTATTAGTGCAATACCAATTAGACTATGTAGCTAGTCATTTTAATGAGAGACATACAGTGATGCCTCATTATGACATATCTACCATCAGGTGAAATTCGTATGGTATAGAAAATGTATCATTTCCCATCGATTCTTTTTTTCCAATATTAATAACTTCCAGATGATTCTTCATGGCATATGAAGGTTTTGAAAATCTGTCTTTCAGAGCTCACAGTTTTAAATGTTTAGCCAGAAACAACATCATCTAAATCAAGAGAATATTTACAGCAGTAATAAAATGGTGTTGTCTACATAAAAACATAGCCTCTGATGTTTTAATTGCCCCCAAGGCAATGTCTAATTAAACCTCTGTGGGCACTGCAGCCCATTGGTTTCCAGCCAAAAGACTTACAAGCACGTACACACTGTTCAGCCACCCAGGATTGTACACTCATTCAGGTTTAAATGTCACAGGCCTGTGAAACAATTACATCCACAGGCGCATGTGCACACAGTCCCCAGGGTCAGGATTAGCATCCATTGGTGTGGCTCCATATCTGACCTTTATGAGTGGCTAAGTAGTGCTCTCCGGGGTCTCATTTGTCTCACTTTAACTGAACAATGGCCTCAATCCCCTCACGACTGCAGCTTTCTCTCTCTGCAGAATGAACATTCAGAGCCTGAAATTGTTGAGCTTAAGAGCACACCAAGGACTCGAGGTCCACTTATAGGTGGGTGAAATAACCATTAAAGGTGTGAAAATTTGGTTCCAAAATGTAACATTAAGCAAGCAAACCACTGTCGAAAGTGACAATTTGTAAGAAAGCATTTAGTTCCTGGTTATTAAGGACCCTTTATGGCTACATCAGGAAATAGTTTTTCAATATAACTTCTGCTCACCTGTAACCTGGCTTTAACATGTAAGCTGAATAAAATATGAAAGGTTGAAGCCTCCAGTGCACATATAGATGACTGACTGAGACTGAGTTGTAGATACAATCAGAATTATGTAAAATGATCTAGGAAATGGACTCAATTCTGGATTTTACAAAAAAGGATTAAGGAATTTATAATATAATACAGATAGTATCATCTCTTCTTGCAGCAAACCAGTGAGTAGAGCTCAGACAAAAAAAAATATGCAAGAAAATGACTAAGAAAAAAGCTTTTAGTGCCTTAAAACGCTGCTCCTAAAAATATACACATGGTGTAATAATGTGATGAAAGCATTAAATAGTGAAAGAGTACAATCATTACAGTATGACAAGCTTTATTAGAACAAGACACGGTGGAAAACAAAAGGTTAGCTTGTCCATGTGTGGGTGTGAGTGGGCATACCGTACTACATGGACATCAGCATTATGAGGTTCTTCATCAACTGGAATCACGACTACATTATCATCCTTGGCTTTATGGTCGTAATGCGCATCAATTGCACTAATAAGCATTTAGAGCCCTGAAGATTGTCTTCAGTGTTAACCCTGTAAGACCCAAGCAATCAAAAAACTGAGATCTTTATTAACCCTTATAACAAAATCCACTTTTTTTGCTGTATCATGTGGTGTATGATATATTTTTATTACATATTTATTATATATTTTTTGTATCACATTTGATACATTAGGCATTTTTGGCAACTTTTTGTTAACAACAATGTTAATTTTAGACAAAAAAAAGAGTTTTGTTCATAACATTTTGAAATTATGCCAAGTATTGATCATGTTGATGATATAGAGGTCTCAGAAACTCATGTATCAAAAATGATACAATGGGCATTATAGGGTTAATGTTAACAGTTTGAAATAGTTAACAGAGTTAACCGTGATTCCATGAGATTGATTCATTAAAACTGGGTGAACAGCAACAAATACATTGGACCGACATGTATTCTATGTATGGCAAAGCCTTAATATGGTAAGTTTGCTAACTGCAATGAACAAGGGCACTCTCATTCACTTTCCATTAACCACACATAAAATGTCCAAGTACAAAAAAAGTACAAAAAGCATTAAATTCGACTGAGTCCGCAAAAAAGACACTATTTAACCAAAAGATATTTTGAACAATCATTGTGGATGCTGACCAAAGATTTTCTCCTCAAAAGGAACTAGATCAGAAATTCAAGGTGAAACAATCCAGCATCACACAACAAATAAGGCAACTTAAAGAAAAGCTATATTTGTCCCGTTAATCATTTTTCCGTCCTACAGAGTTACCTCGCGTGGTCTCATCTTCTGTGATGGCAACCACTACTCGAACTGTTTAATTCCAGTTAAACAACACTAATAACCCCTGTATAAACACATTTGACTTGTGCTATGTCACATTAATGAAAATGTCAGTGCTTTACTGTGACAAGTCAAATATTCTGCTGTGAAGTAACCCCAAAGTAAGAATAAAATCCGGGTATTCTGCTAGCATTACATAAAATACATACTGAATATTTATCTTGTTGTTTTTTGTTGTTCTTTGCATAATTTTCAAGCACATCTATTAAAAGTGGAGGGGAATGCACTGAGCTGACTAAAACTGACTGAAAGACGCTGAGTGTGGTATTTACTTCATAACAAATTAGAGCCAAAAAAATGAAATCAAAAATGACCACAGAGTTGGACGCACTTGTGCGATGGTGACAATAAGCAATTACAAGCCTCGCCAAGCTGGTATGTTTTTGTATAGTTGAAGCTTTTCTGCTATTTTATCCATACCCTCTAGCTATGTGCCAGTTTATAGCATTTCCAGATGCCTTCTCTTTTGTCACACATAGTTAATAGATGCACACACCGATGATTTATTTATTTATTTATATCTAT